AATAAGGATACAGGTTGACCCACTGTAACAATGAGATGTATAAGACACTATGTGGAAAATGAACTTTACAACTTCCGTGGTGGTGGTGGGGAAGTTGAGGAGGTGGGGAGGAAAGAGATAGTATGACAAAAACAAAAGAGGAGGTAACAAGGCTCAATAGGGTTACAATTACTTGAGCAAGGTAATGAATATATTTCTTTTTTTTTTTTTTCGGTCCAGTCATGGGGCCTGAATTCTGGGCCTGGGGGCTGTCCCTCAGGTCTTCAGCTCAAGGCTAGCACTCTACCACTTGAGCCACAGAACCACTTCCGGCATTTTTCTTTTTGCTTATGTGGTGCTGAGGAATCGAACCCAGGGCCTCAGGCATGCAAGGCAAGAGCTCTAGCACTGAGCCATCTTCCGAGCCCAGTGAATACATTTCTTATCCAGCATTGTTGCCTCCTCCTTTGTTTCCCCTCACCATCCCTGCCCTCCACCGGCCAAAGTTGTAAAGTTCATTTTTCATTTTTTTTCTTTTTTATTTTCTTTTATTGTTTTTCTTTTTATTTTTTTTAATTGTGAGAATACCGTACAGAGGAATTACAATTACATGAGCAAGATAACAAGTACATTTCTTATCAGGGATTGTTGTCTCCTCTTTGTTTCCCCTTCCCATCCCTTCCCATACTCTCCCCCCTACCCGATCCTCCCCCCACCCCCCACCAAAGTTGTAAAGTTTGTTTTTCGACATAACAACTTGTACATCTCATTGTTGCAATGGATCCACCTGTATCCCTAGTTAAACGATTTGTTTTTTCCCTTCCCCTCCACAAATTATACCAACATCAAATACAGGGGTATATTGTGGGGGAGGGACATACAAAGCAACAAAGAAATCATCTTATAAATATGTTAGAAACAATAGCAAGAAAGAAAAACCATTTGAGTCCTTATCTTGGGGTTCATTTCACCTAATATCAACTTATCTGACCATTTCTGCTGTCTCAGACATACACTAGTTATTGCAAGTAAGGGAAACCGTGGGACTTATGTTTCTTTGGGTTTGGCTTACCTCAGTTAATATGATTTTTTCCAAGTCTTTCCATTTCCTAAGAAATGGGACAAAGTCATTGGAAGTGGCTCTGTAGCTCAAGTGGTAGAGCACTAGCCTTGAGCTGAAGAGCTAAGCGACAGCACTCAGGCCCAGAGTTCAAGCCCCATGACTGACCAAAAAAAAAAAACAACAACAAAAAATTAACAAAAAACCCCTGAAGTTAAAATTTATGGAAGTAGAGAATTTACTAGATTTCTAAAACTTGCTGTTTTTGAAGGCTGAAATTAAAAACTGAAAGTATCTGTATTTGAGACATCTAAGTATATATGGGAACAGAGAATAAACTTTCTTGAAGACCTACTATGTGTTTACTACAATAAGGTAGGTAATGAAGTTCCATATTCTCATCTTTCATATATTGTAAAGTTTAAGTGAGATGGGGCTTAGAATGTGATGATTGTTCACTTAAATCTGTAGTTTTCTCAAGTCTATAATCAGTAAACTGTTCAACATTAATGAAAATAGACTCTCAGTTCTAACAGTAGTCATTCAGATCTTTATGCCCTCATTTCCCAGTTGTATACAATCCTGAAAGTAGCTAATTTCATTGACACGGAACATGGGAATTTCTATTAAGGAAACAAAATAGTTATTGCAATATCAATGATCCAATTATCTTTATGATTCTCCAGTTGTTAATATGAATAGCAGTAAATCTAAATGCACAAATATTTTCCCTTCAAAAGATTTACTCACTAAATGGGTAAGCATTGAAAAGACCCTGTGTCTCCAAGGTTTTTTCTGTCAAGACTGCTGGAAGGTCTATTATTTTCAGTTTGATCCTGGGTTAAAGAAAGGAATGAAATAAGAATTCTGAGATGCTAATCTTCCCACATTTCTAGAGCCTCTATGCCAAATATTGATTTTTGAAATAATATTGTCAATTTAGTCACATGACAGTAACATTCATTTACATCTAAGTGTACCATTTGGCTCATTTCTCCAGGTAGAAGGGTTGAAGTCCAACTATGCAATAGGCAGGATACCAAAAAGTAGAGTTCATAAAAACCACAGATATTAGTCTAGTCTCAAAACAGAAACCAAGTATCTTTTTTTTCTGGGCCCTTTGGTGGGGTCTGAACTCTGGGCTTGGGTGCTGTACCTCAGCTCTTCAGCTCAAGGCTAGCACTCTACCACTTAAGCCACAGCACCACTTCCGGCTTTTCTCTGGCTTTGAACCCAGGGCCACATGCATGCAAGGCAAGCACTCTACCACTGAACCACCTTCCCAGCCCTGAAACTGAGTATCTTGATGTGCACAGATTAAAGTAGATCCCCAGGATGTATGACTTAGATTTTTTAACCCAGTGTAGTCCCCATCTGGTTTTATTACCTCCTAGTTTAGATAATATGTTCTTTTTTATTTTTTATTGTGAAAATACCATACAAAGGGGTTACAATTACATGAGCAAGGTAATGAGTACATTTCTTATCAAGCATTGTTGCCTCCTTTGTTTTGATATCTAACTTCCTTCCCATCTAGAGCAACCACTGTGAGTTCTGTAAATACACTTAAGAGGAACTCTCATTCGATGCTGTCTCATCTCACAGAAAAAACATCAAAGTTCTAATTCCTGCTTACGCACCATACTTTGAAATATTCATCAGATACTCCTGTAATCTCTGCTGTGCTTAGTACTAAAGACATTTTCAATTCAAGATTTCTTTCATTTTCCTTACTGTAAGAAGATGATACTTTAATTACTTACTGTGATACAGTGCCCATATATGAGTATATCCCTTAATCCTACCACATTTTTCCATATAATGCAATAACTACACAGAATCAGATTATATACTACCTTTTCATTCCATTATATGTTCATGTACTTAATTTGGAGTACTGATTGCAGAACTTGTGAAATTTGAATGATCAATACATGCCAGTTCATAAGAGAATTTTTTAAAATTTCAAAAATGGATTATATTCTGAAATAATGATTTGATTATATATAGTACAGTTATTCTATATCATACATATGTTTATTTCATGTTTGATATATGTATTATGGAAAAAAGCATGTATGGTATAGATAGTATATAACATACACATTTCATGTCATGACTTCTTTATTTCTTAAAAAATTAAAAAGCAAACAATGCATAGGATTGTGTCTTTGCTCCATGTTCAATCATACTGTATATCATCTCATTCCTGTCTATGGTTTTTATTTGTATTTCTCAAAGTTACAATAGTGCATTTCCATTTTAAGATAAACCCTTATAGCTATATTGATACTCATAAAAGTAATTGAAAATTTGAGATGATTTAAACTTATATATAGGAATAAAAGCAACAAACCACTGACTGTAGTTATTAAATATTGAACAATCAGTAATACATTATAACTACCAAAATCCTTGTCCTGAGCAGCCTGTGATCTCAAATCTTCTTCCAACAGTAGAACATATACATACAAAGCAGACAATCTCATATTGGAAGGAGATTATTATGTAGATCCTTGAAATTAGTGAAAGAAAACTAAGTTGGCGAAACAAGACATAGACTGTGTGTCATGTTAGAGATAAAATCCCCAAGCCAAAACCTGGCCATAGAGGAAAAAATAACCTGGAAAGGAAATTTGTTCATTTTCTTTTCCTGTTTGTTTCTTTATTATATATATGATATATATGTATATCATATATAATGTATACCACAAATGTATACCACATTTTACTTAAGTGATTTAACATGAAGAAGAGAAGGGAAGAAGAGAAGTTGAGATTAAATCAAGAATGTGTTAGCACATGTTCTTTCTAAGTAAACATCTTCAACTGCTTCATGGAACAGTCTGAGGAATTGGAAGTATAAAATATAGAACAAGAGTCAAAATAGTTCTGAAAGGTACTGAAAGAAGCCCAGTCCTCTGGAGAAGGATAATAGATGAGCCTGGCAGATTGAATGAGGTCTGAGCACAATGGACCATTGCCACTCCATTACAAAACATGGGATTGTGAAATTGAGGCTCAACATCTGATAACTGTAGTAAATGTATTAGAGAAACTTATTCTTCCCATCAATGAAACTGTTACTTACATGAAAGTATTAATGGTTAAATGTAATAATGTTTGCTTTTTGCAGGGTAATAAATGAATATGAAGACTTCACTTAAGGTATAGCATACCAAAATCTCTTATATTTTTATAGTGGTGATGTATATATGTTTATAATTATCTTTGTTAGTTATAACCAAACATATATTAAACTTAATTACCATGCCAGTGGGAGTCTATAGATATGTAATATTGAGATGAAGAAATTTTGTAATATATGGTATTTATCTGAGGAATTTTTTATATAAAAGAAAATGTATTTGATATGTATCCATTTGATTTTTGTTCATTTAAATTGGAATATTAGCAAACAAAGACTATTCAAATACATTTTATCATTAGGGAAAGCCTTATACAATATACAAATAATTCTTTAGACAACAAACAATAAAAAGATTGGTGGGCTTTAATGAATGCATCAAAATTAATAAAGACTGTAGAAGTAGGTCATAAAAATAAAGTTAAACTTGTGTCTCTGTAGTAGTATGGGTAGGGAGTGAGAACAGAAAATAAAGATGCAGAAAAGGGCAAGAAAAATGTAGGGATATTAGCTCTCCTCAGTTTATACTATGTGTTATTAATCCTAAGGATGGGTTTGGTCAGTAATCATGGAAGGCTGGAAGGCTCTAGCTAACACATTTATCTTTGCTGCCAATGACTACGCTCATAGCCTGGACCCATATCTCTTAACAGGCTGAAATGGTGGGAGACTACTGGAAACAACATGAAATTCAGATATTAAACCAGTTTAACCACAACTAGGGAGAAAATCCAATTAATTTTGGCAAAGCCTTGAGGAAGCTAGATTCTTTTCTTCTCTTCATTTTCATTCATACTGTGTGCATTTCCTTTCATGTTACTTTCAAAGGAGGCAACAGAATATATTTTTGTGGAGAAATGGAATCAAACTTCCAGCGATTTCATCCTGTTGGGGTTGTTGCCTTCAAATCAAACAGGCCTCCTTCTTATGATCTTTTTCATCTTCGTGTTCTTTGTTGCTGTGTTTGGCAACTTGACAATGATTTGTCTCATACGTATAGATAACCGGCTCCACACTCCCATGTACTTTCTCCTCAGCCAACTTTCCCTCATGGACTTGATGTACATCTCTACCACTGTCCCCAAGATGGCGTTCAACTTCCTCTCTGGCGAGAAAAGAATATCATTTGTGGGATGTGGAGTGCAAATCTTCTTCTTTGTGACCTTAGCAGGATCAGAAGGCTTACTGCTGGCCTCTATGGCCTATGACCGCTATGTGGCCATCTGCCACCCCCTCCACTACCCCATCCACATGAGTAAAATTGTATGTGTGAAGATGATCATAGGATCTTGGATAATTGGCTCTGCCCATGCTTTGGCACACACAATCTATGTCCTTCATATTTCCTACTGCAAGTCTAGGGCTATTGATTACTTCCTTTGTGACATACCATCCATGTTACCTCTGGCCTGTATGGACATTAGAGTCTATGAGTACATAATTTTTATGAGTACCTGCCTGTTTCTCCTCTTTCCTTTCCTTGGGATCACTGCTTCCTATGATCGGGTCCTTTTTGCTGTCTCCCATATGCGCTCAAAAGAGGGAAGAAAGAAAGCCTTCACCACCTGCTCAACACATTTAATTGTGGTGACATTTTACTATGCACCTTTCTTCTATAGTTATTTTCAGCCTTCTAGTCTTCGTTCCCCTACAGGGGATAAGATTCTGGCTGTCTTCTACACTATCCTCACCCCCATGTTCAATCCAATTATCTATAGCTTGAGGAATAAGGAAGTTCTAGGAGCTATATCTAGAGTCTTTGCAATGTTTTCTTGCAGGAAAAAATGACAACTCAGTCCCTAATAATGTCTCTTTCTTTTCTTCCAGTGTTACTTTGAGTTTTATAGCAGGCCTGCATGCTTGCTGACTTGTGTGGTAGGACTGCGCTCTAGTCATGTCTTTCACAGTTCAATTATAGGACAGTGTCTGGCACGTGGTATGAACAGAGCCTGAACTGTAATTCTAACTTTACATTCTTAGTAATGTTTTGTGTACTAGGCTTACCAGAAACTGTGATGCCCTGAAATCAGTCACCCCTGTAGCTCAGAGGACACGTATATGCCATTGTGCCCACTTTCTGTTGAGAATAGATCTTACGAGTCTTTCTGCCTGGATTGGCTTTGAATTGCCATTCTCCTGTCCCCAGGTCCCAATTAACTAGGTTTAGCCACTGTACCACATGGTGAGCCACAGGCACACAGATTTTTTTTCTTTTTTTAAAATTCTATTTTATTGTAAATATGCTATACAGAAGGTATACAGTTACATGATAATGAGTACATTTCCTATTGAGCATTGCTATCCCCTCCTTTGTTTTTTCTCCTTCCCTCCCCCAATTTCCCCACTCCAAGAGTTGTAAAGTTCATTTCCAAAATAGTGTCTTTTGAGTATCATTGTTACAATGGGTTTCCCTTATTTGCAATAATTAGTATATGTCTAGAATGACCTTATCAAATGAACATAAAGCTCAAAAACTGTACATAGGACCATATAAGATGATGCTAAAGGAAGTGAACCCCAAGATGAATGCAAGAAGCTTTACTTTGTCATTGTTTTTTAATGTACTATGTGTTTTTTTTGTTTCTTTTGTATGTTCTTCTCCCTGTATTATAGTCCTTGTTGTTACTGTGTTTGATTTTGCTACATGGCATGTTGTATATACATTTATCTAATTTGGGGAGGGGAAGGGGGAATAACAAAATGGTGAAACACACAGATCTTACTTCCTGTTTCTTTATTGGTCATTTCTATGTTGATTAGGATACCTCAGAGCAGTAATGTCTGATAGAATGTACCTTGAGCCACATATATAACTTAAAATATGCCAGCAATAAAAGTTAGGGTAAGGTTAAATATCATATAAAATAATATGTACTATATTTGTGTATCATTGTTAATATATTCATTGATTTCTTATCCTCATAGCCAGTATAAAATTAACCATTTTTTCTTTTTTTTAATTGTGAAAATACCGTATAGAGGAGTTACAATTACATAGGCAAGATAATGAGTACATTTCTTATCAAGCATTGTAGCTTCCTTTTTTTCCCCTTCCCATCCCTTCCCATTTTCCCCCCACTCCGACCCCCCAAAGATATAAAGTATATTGCTGAAAACATGATAGTATTTGTGCCAATACCAAAATTTTATTTCTCAACAATACATGAAATTATTGCTACATTCTTCTTTTGCATGATTTTATTTCTTTTTAAATTTTTTTTAATTGTGAAAATACCATACAGAGGGGTTACAATTACATGGGCAAGGTAATGAGTACATTTCTTAACAAGCATTGTTGCTTTCTCCTTTGTTCCCTCTTCCCATCCCTTCCCATCTCCCCTCTCCAACCTCCCCAACACTTTACTTCCCCTTTTCCCCTCCACCCCGGCCAAAGTTGTAAAGTTTGTTTTTGACATAACATCTTGTACATCTCATTGTTGCAATGGGTCCACCTGTATCCCTATTTAAACTATTTGTTTTTTCCTTTCCCTCCACAAATTATACCAACATCAAATACAGTGAAAACAAGGGTTATTCCATGGGGGAGGGACATACAAAACAACAAAGAAATCATCTTATAAATATGTTAGAAACAATAGCAAGAAAGAAAAACCATTTGAGTCCTTATCTTGGGGTTTATTTGCCTAACATCAACTTATCTGACCTTTTCTGCTTGTCTCAGACATACACTAGTTATTGCAAATAAGGGAAACCATGGGACCTATGTTTCTTTGAGCCTGGCTTACTTCACTTAATATAATTTTTTCCAAGTCTTTCTATTTCTTAACAAATGGGGCAATGCCATTCTTTCTGATGGAGGCATAGAATTCCATTGTGTATATATACCACTACTACATTCTTCTATTGGTATTCATTATATCATAGAAACTGTAGATGCATAGAAATTTCAAGTTGGAATGAACATACTTCAAATGTGTAAAATAAGTGTCTGCACAGAAATGTATAAATATAACTTTATTATATTTAAATATTTTTACACATATTTACATGAACATATTTTACATATTTTATAATCTTATGTGTTTATATAACATATATATGTTATATATTATGTTTATACAATATATAGTGAATATATATGTATATATGTTTTTCCTATACTTTATATATGATTTTATAGTATTATATATAATTTTCATGTTTAATTATATGTTAATTGTATATAATTATATAGTATACATATAATATATATATATATATATATATCACATCAACAAGTTCAACATGTATAGATGGCAAGTACAATGAAGTCAATAAAATCAAATATTTTTTGTTAAGAAAGAGAAACACACTGTGGGATCATACATTACTACAAGTCTTAAATAAAGTAGAACATATCCTCAAAAATTTAAAAGTTGTACAGTAAGGTCTGACATTTCATGTACAAGGCATACACTTAAAGAAAATGAAATCAGAATGTTGAAAAGAAACCCGTTTTCCCGTTTTCATTGAAGCCCTATTCACAGTAACAAATACAAGGAATAAACCTCTATGTCTATCATCAGAACAATGCAGAAAGAAGACATGGGACAATTGTGCGTTGGGGTGCTTCCTTGCAATGAATTCATTGACAATTATTTTCTTATAAATATGCCTTACGTCTAGAAAACATACACAATATGATCCTATAGATAAGGCAACTGACATCTAAAATAATAAGATCATAAACAGTCTTGAAGGGACTAATGAATGGATATTACAAAAGCTTTAAATTATAAAAGGTAAGATACATGCTCATCTACTAAAATAAAAAGATTCTTTTTTTTTTTAATCATGGGGCTTAGGCAATGTCATTCTTTCTGTTCGAACACTCTGGAAAGCAGTATGGTGATTCCAGAAAAAAGGAGACATAGCGCTTCCCTATGACTCAGCAATTCCACTCCTGGGTATTTATCTCCACCACCATCTTTTATTGTTAGTTCTATTGATAATGGCTATTCTAACTGCAAGTTAGAATTTCAGTGTTGTTTTGATTTGCATTTCTTTTATGGCAAGAGATGTTGAACATTTCTTCATGTGTCTGTTGGGCATTCTTACTTCTTCTCCGAAGTCTCTCTTTAAGTCTTTAACCCACTTATTAATTTAATACTTGTTTCTTTGATGATTTATTTGTGTAGGGGGTAATTTTTTGAGCTCACTATATATTTTAGATATGAGATCCTTTTCTGATGCATAGCTAGAAAGAATCTCTGTTTTCTGCACTTTTTGTCTTATATGTAAATTTATCTGTTTTAGAAAGGATAAGGGAGGAGTACAAAAATGATGGAACAAAGGGTGCAGTGATACTCACCAGATACCATGCTGAACATGAACTATATCACTTATAGGCAGGGTCAGAATGTAAAAACTGGAAGGAAGTGAGGGAAGGAGAGTCACTGTTCAAAAAGAAGTGTACTCATTATTGCCTCACTTTTTAAAATATAACCTTTCTGTACATGCCTTTTTCAATACCAATAAAAACAAGTGCCTTTTATACACTATTAATAGGAATGAAAATTAGTAAGGAATCATGGCAAGACAGTATTGAAGCTCCACACAAATTTAAAAATAGACCTAGTAAATGGTTCAAATATCTTAGTATTGGGTACATATCTGAAATGAAAATTTTATATCAAAGAGATTCATGCAATGATATTCACACCAAATAGTTTTCTGCCATGAAAATGAACCTTGTCATTTGCATCGACAATGGTAGGATTTAATTTCCTTCTGTTAAGTGTAATAATACAGACTGAAAGAAAATAATTGCAAAGGACAATAGTATAAAAAGACAATAATATACTCATTTATAGAAAATCAAATTTTTATCTAACAGACTTAATAGGAGTGGTAGCTACATATTGAAAAGGACATAATAATTTAGATATGGAGCACCAAAACATAAATAGGAAGAAATCTTTCTGGTTATCTATGGAATAGTAGAGTAAATATTGGCTGCTGAGATCTATGATACATTTAAAAATAAAGAAAAGAGTATACATGGTCCCAACAAATACAAATGTGTAATATTTCAGGAAATAAAAATGATTATGCCAGGCTGGGAAGGTGGTTCAGTGGTAGAGCGCTTGCCTTGCATGCCTGAGGCCCTGGGTTCGATTCCTCAGCACCACATAAGCAAAACAAAAAAAGCCAGAAGTGGTGTTGTGGCTCAAGTGGTAGAGCGCTAGCCTTGAGCTGAAGAGCTGAGAGACAGTGCCCAGGCCCAGAGTTCACGCCTCACGGCCGGACCCTTCCCCTCCAAAAAATGATTATCCATCTATTTCATTATTACACCTTACATAAATGGGCCATATTATCATGCTACAAGTATAAATACTATGTGGTAGTATTGCTAATAGTAATTGATAATAATAATTAGAAAATCCATATAGTCTTGTTCACATCAAATTCACATATTTTAATTATATTGTCAAGGTGATGTACAAAGTGGTCACAGAGTACCAAAGACACAGAGTACCAAAATCAAATACAGTGACAACAAGGGATAGGAAAGTTCACATTTAGAAACTCACACAGCGGCACTATACAAGCCACTATGACCACAGATTAAAGGACTTAGAAAGTCAGCACCTAGATAGCCACAGAAAGAAAATGGCATATGATGAGAAGAGTAAATATCTGCAACATATTATTGGGAAGCTTTACAAAATTGTCAAACATAGTTGTGAACGGAACAAATGAATTTCAACATATTCACAAATGTGACATTTGGGAGGTTGATAAATGAGAGAGGATGGATGGCAGGTGAAGTAATGATATTCAGTGTA